GGTGGGAGGTTGGGGGAACCAGGTGGTGGGTATTGGAGAGGGCACGGATTGCATGGAGCACTGGGTATGGTGCAAAAACAATGAATACTGTTACACTGAAAATAAATTAAAAAATTTAAAAAAAATTAAAAAATTAAAATAACAGCAACAACAAAAGAACTCTTCTTACCATTTTCATGTCAGACCTCACATTAGGACAATTTATTTATAGCTATAAAAATCAGAGAAAATGCTACTTTACACTTGTTATAAATTCAGATCTGGAGTTTTCATAGTAGATATGTTTTTCCATTTAGTGAACTAAATGCATCTCTTTATTTAGCTCATTTTAGAGTACCAGATGAAAATCTAATGCTTGTGAGTCAAGATTCAGTGTCAAAGCCTCAAGTGCAAGTAGAGAAAAAAATAACTCACAAAAGGGAAAGACGCCATAGTAAGTGTAATAATTATGAATAAATTTAAAGTATTTTAAACCCATCAAGATTTTTTCCTTTTATTCAAGCATATATATTATAGAAATTATACACTCTAACCCTAAAGTGTGAATGTGCAAAGATAACCAGAAAACAAAAGCAAAAGCTTTAATACCTTCAGATTGGAATTTCTAATCACAGCCATAGGACACTCACTCAGTATCTACCAAGGCCCAATAACTGCCCAATAGTATCTCAAAGTATCTTTCAGCTGACTCTGGGAGAGTATAGGTTCCAGGAGATTATGACCAATGGTCACTTCTGCCTTATGACTTCACTTCTGACACTTCAGCAGTGACCTTCTGACATATGCTCCAGTTGAGAAAAGTGAGAGGTTTAGTTGGGCCCCACACTATTTTTCACTGATTGCTGCAAGGTATGGAGTTAATTAATTCAGACAATAAACTAAGTTGAAAGTAACAATTACATCCTTATTCACTTGCTGTGACGATATAAGCAAAAGTAAATATAAAATGGTACCAGTCTTTTATATTTCAACCAGCCAATATTTCAACCAGTGTTTCATTTTCCCATGAAATGACATCAGGCAAGCATCAGATGTATCAATGCAGAGGGGTGAGAAATATCTTATTGTGTCTTACACATACACACATATATACATATATGTATGTACCACTATCTACCAGTATAGTAGTACTCATGTTATACCAATTCTGTACTTGTATAGATATCAATTTATTTGTCCAATACCCTATGCTTTAACATTTAGGTGGCTTTAAGTGTTTTGCAATTACAAATAAGGCTGTAATGAATAAACTTTTGCATGTAAGTTTTCATTGCTTGCTCTATTATTGTGTATCAGCCTGAAGAATAAATCACCCATGAAACCTGAAGACTAATATAAGATCTATTTGTTGCTTAGGCATATTTATGAAATAATAAGATAATTTCAAACAGTTTTCATTTCATAACAGTTCTAACATTATAATTTACTTAATGATTTTATGAAAATGAAAAAAATGATACTATACACTTGTTATAAATTTGAAATCTAGAGATTTTACAATGGATTTGATTTTCCATTTAAAGGACTAAATCTATCTCTTTATATAGCTTATTTTGGTGCACCAGATGAAAATCCAGATGTAAATCCAGAGTCATCATCAAAATTCCAAGTGAAAGTAAAGAAAGAAATAACTTCCAAAGAGGGGAGACGCAAAAGTAAGTATAGTAATTTAAATTTAAATTATTTTAAATTAACCTCATCAGAAGATTTCTTTTGGTTCATATTTATGTATGTATTTGAACACATGTTTTATAGAAACTTTACACTAAGATTTTTTTTTTTTTGAAAGGGATCACAAGTAGGCAGAGAAGCAGGCAGAGCGGGTGGGGGAAGCAGGCCCCCTGCTGAGCAGAGAGCCAGATGTGGGGCTCTATCCTAGGACCCTGAGATCATGACCTGAGCTGAAGGCAGAGGCTTAACCCACTAAGCCACCCAGGCGCCACTACACTCAGCTTTAAAGTGTGAATATCCTAAGATAAAGACAAAAACAAAATTAATAACTTTTGGCTGGTATTTTCATGGTCAGTAATTATTAAGTACTATGATAGCTTCTCCACACAGACTAATGAAAATTGTTCACATAATTTTTTTCACTTCACTTCCATAGGAAGAAAATTTGATAATTTTTTGGCATATCTAGAAGTTCCATTACATTTTTTTTTTATTTATTTAGCATTTCCTCTTGAAAAGCAAAAAAATTATATGATATCACATGAAAACCTATTTCCTGAGAAGAAAGTTTTATTTTCAAGAAGCCAGTTTCAAACTAAGAATGAAGCTACCAGAAACATGAATCTTGATAGTAAGTAATTAAATATAAATCTTATGAATTATTTTTAATTAAATTCAGAGGAACACTGTTTTGGGTTTAGAATACATCTTCAACAATATGTTCTTTGGTAATTAGTCCCATCAACACTTTATATCTTTATTGATGATTTATCTGTTTGTTTTATAATTATTGAATTAGATGTGTTAAATCTCAAACTGAAATTCTCTTTTTCTTGTAGTTGTGGTTATGATTTATATCTTATGATACTCCATTATTTATGGCATACAGGTTTAAGATTGATAATGTTCTTGGAGGACAGATCATTTTGTCTTAATGAAAAGACCCACTTTATCATTTTATAGTTTTTGTTTATTTTCTTTTAAAACTACTTTTCTACTATTAATGTAGCTCCACAAACTTCTGGTTGATATTTATATCATATATTTTTTTTCTATCCTGTTTCTTGTATCTATGATTTTGCTATATCTCTTGTAAGAAAATTAGAGTTGCATATATTTTAAATGCAGCTTGATCCTTATCTTTTTATTAAATTGCGATCATATATAATCTAGTTATTTGTATTTTTAGGAGTAATTACACCATTTAATTTTGTTTCTTCTTATTTTT